TCATTGATTCATTGTAGAGTTGCCTTCTGTAGTGTTTTAGTTAGTGGAGTATTGTTTTTACTTCTATCTGGTACAACTCTGTTTTGTTCAAAGAGCCTTGTAAGAAGAATTCATTTTGGAACAAAATTGATATCATAGTTTTTTTTTGTTTTGTTTTTTGTTTTTAAACTTTTTAAACTGATTTGGACTAAGTAAATGCTTCTCTTTCTACAGCAATAGAAAAAATACCACATTTAAGTGGCATTTCAGAATCAACAGATTGGCTTCTGTAATCATGGAAATCATGAGGTAGTACTGCTTCTGTTCCTACAGAGCAGGGTGAAGCCCTGTACATTGATCCCTGTACAGTGATTTTTAAAAATATTTTTTATTTTTATTTCTGTTTATTTATTTATTTATTTTTACCAAGGGGTAAAATCTTTGGTTTCCTCAAAGCTGAGAACTGCCCCGTACTCAATGACCACCACCACAGTAATCAAGTGCTCTGAGATACTTACCCCAGCAAGAGAGGGAGAGCTCTTTAGGAAACCTGTCTTCCTCTGTACTGAGAAAACTGTGTCCAGAACAGCTGATGCTGAAGTGCTTAGCTCTAACAGCTTTTGAAATTTTGAATGGGTTTTTACAACCTTTGGGGGCACTTCTTGATCTCACGTATAGGACGAGTTCAGCAATCCATGGTGAATTTTTACCTTCTTCACAACAAAGGAAAATAAATACATGCAAGTCCTGACTTTCTGTGCTTAGCTCCCATTAAAATGCAATTACTTCCTTTTTGTACCTTATTCATTAGTAGTGGCTTCACATCATACGTGGCTTCTGTTCAATATAATTACTTTCCTTTACTGCAGGCACAGTAAGAATGAAGCTTCGGAATAAAGATAGTTATTTAAGGAGAATTGCTGCCGTTTCAAATTCCTTATCAGATTAATTTGTTTACTCAGTAAAGTCCTTGCCTTAAATTTGCTGCATTTTTCTTGGTCTTCATGCAGAATTGGGCCCGTGACAATTTAGCTTTTAATCCTATGAACAGTTCATAAAGATAAGGCTGTTCAGGTTGTTGAATGATTACAAAATCAAGTGTGTGTGTGTGCATCAACACAGCTGGCTGTTGCAGGACTATTTGTACTATGCTATGTGGGTGTTTTTATCTCACTAGAAGTGCTCTGAGTTCTGGAGGGAGCTAGATGTCTGTGCAGTGCTTGATTGCTGCTCTCTGCAGGAACAAAGTATTCTGAATTTACTCTTCGCATTTGCCCAGGTCCAGGATTCTAGCCTCCAGCTGCACGAGAGCTCTCTCACTATGAGATAAAAGAGAAGGGGGAGGGACAGCAGAAAGCACATGCTATAAAACAGACACAAAAATTAAGGATGGTTTTACCATTCTCATTAATATTCTGGACTATGCATAGCTCACTCTCCTGGTCCTTTTGTTTTGCTGCAAGGATATATAGGGGTAGTAAAGCTAAGTATTTCCTTGATGTGAAGGAAGCCTGGATGAGTTATAGCTAACTGCTGTGTGCTAAGCCATGCCAGAGGTGGAAGGATAGTTTGGCTGGAGCAATATCACATAGTGCTCTCAGAGCAACAGGCGAACATCTGTCTGTCTCCTTCCTTTCACTGCACAGATGATGATCCTGCTTTCTGTCTTTCTCCCTCCTCTCATAAAGACACCTCCAGTAATTGTCTGACTCAGTACTAAACATATCAAACCACCTACTTTTGAAGCAGGTAATACAGTGTATAGTTTCAGATTAAAATTAGAATTCAGATTAAAAATTTAGTATGGTCTGGCATGAACCTGGCTTTCATCAATTTCAATCACCTCATTGTAGTGACTGCATTTTCTTGGTAGCACCTGTCTGCAGCACATACATTTTCTGTATCTAATACACAACCAATGCTCAGGGTCATAGCTCTGTCTTTATAGATTTTGCTTTAACTAGGTAGGTGAGGTGAAGGAGGCTGCTGTTGACCCCAGGGTTCTTGCAGATGGTAGTCTTTTGCCCAAGGTAGACTTTGTTCACTGTGTTCCTTTTCTTTCTTCCTTCTGGCACAACCCCAAAAAACATTGAAATCAAGCTGCTTTGTGGTATCAGTGAGATGTAGAAAGCGGCATAGTGGCTTTTCTAGCATAAAGTCTATTTTCAGTGTGCATTGCTTGAGGAGTTACTGCAGATTCTGACAGTGGGCAGTGATCACATTAAAAAACCTGGAAGGAAATGCCTGAGATGGTCTTGCATCCAATCTGTGCTAAGGTGAAGTTAATTTTTGTAATTTTCTTATATGGAGTAGGAATCTGAATGGGATTATTGGTGGTGGTGTATCGTGGGGATCTTTCCGCCCCTTAACTGGTAGATGCCTATAGCAGGAGTATGGTGCTATTGAGCTCTGAGGTAACTGGCACTGAACTGTGAACTGTTCAGGGCTTTCAAGCATGTTGTCAGGGCTGGCACTGCTGGCATGGTGACCCTTTCAGTATAGAGTGGCTGGCTAGCATGGAAAGAGAAATGCTGGCAAAGTGATCAGGGTGACATAGATCACAGTGTGGCTTGTGAGAGGACTTTAAAGCACATAAAAGTTGAGGCAGCATTATAAGGTGAATAAACATGAGGACAGTGAAAGACCAAGTGACACAAATGTTAGCAAAGATCTGAGCAGTGAGAAAACATGAACAAAACGCATCTTAAAGCAACTTTCTGCAGTTAGCCATGGAAATACTGTAGTCTATAACCTGAATACAGTCAAAGCAGGTGGAGGGTAGCTGTGAGCAGACTTGTGCAAGACAGTATGAACAGCAATATTTTGATGGGTCATTATATGGATATTGATGTCTAGGGTAGAGTTTTTAAAAGAGCCTAAGGACTGCAAAATATTTGAGCTGTTTTCTTTTTTATGTTGCCACAACTCTGAGGTTACATGTGATTTCATGGAGTAAGTGTGCTTTGCATGAGTACAGGGAAACTGTCTGAAAGATTATGCTCTGGCAGTGTGAGTACTATCAATGTGAGAGGAATGACTTCCTGGGTGGGAGCATTTTGTTATCCCAAAGCATCAAGCAAAAACACTTCCCTATGTAGGTAGATGGATTTGGAAGTTTGTGTGATTTGCAGATTGATTATTGCAAGGTGGACAGCGGAGTTTAGCTTCTCCCTTTCACTGAGAAATAGACACAGACATCAGGCTGGGACCTTAAACCAAGTGCAAGGCATAGTCTTTGAGACGGCGATCTGATTTGATCACGTAATGATTGCTGAATAAAACCTTCTCCTGGTCATAAGTGACATCATCCCAAGAGTGAGCTGCACATATTGTTCTCTTTGGTAGTGTACTCTTATTAGTCAGCCCACATTCATACATCTCTTTTCGTGAATGTAGGTGAATGTAGTTGAAGCATATAGAGTGCCTTATTTTTTATTTTTTTGTGTGTGCCAGGTTTGAAAAATTTTACAAATCCTAGTGCTTGTCTTGATAAACAACTGTATTGATAAAATGTTGTTTCTTTCTCAGAAAACATAGAAAAGGGAGAGAGAAAGAGAGGCCAATAAATGCAGTGCAGAATCCAGGAGGATTGGTGATATAATGGGAAATTTAAAGAAAGACTTGAGCAAAAGAGATTAGAAGGAGACACAGAAAGATAGTAAGGGAAAAAGAAAGCAGAAAGCTTCAGCTGAACACAAATTATGTATTAACTTAATGAAAAATGACATTTTGCAATAATAGTTTGTAAAATAATACCAGGTTCTAGAAATGGCTTCAGGCTGCAGGCATGCATACACATGCACTCACACAAACAGGCAGAGAAATAGTAATAGTAATAATAAAAATAATTTTCACATTTTCAAACTGAAAACAATCACTTCTTGTTCTAAGGTATTTTAGCCTTATTCTTATCTGAAGGATATCAACAGAGCTTCTTTGGCTTTAATAAAATAAATTAGTTTTACCAGAGTTGATGGCTATTTGACTGTCTGTGTTACATGAACTGGGTAAGGAGAAATTAACCATATTCACAAAGAAGACCTCCTTAAAGACCAAGAGCTCACTTTTTCATTCACGGTGATGGATGTTAATTTACCTCTTCACCTGAGATGAACTTTTTTTTTTCTTTTTTCCTCTGAGAAGGAAGGAATAAAGGCAGAATTCAAAGGAAGGAAGTGTCTATCAGTGAAACCCATGTTAAAGCAAACATGAGTCTACAACTTACTGTTTTATTTCCAGACAACTACTTCACAGAAAACCATTTTCCATCTCTTTGTAGTCTCTGTTTTTCTTCATTTCACAGTGATATTCAGAGGATTTATTCATTCTCTCGGAGTTGTTAACTGCCCCGTTACAAGATTATATGTGGGACAAAAGAATCTAATTCGCTTCACTTTTTATTCATTTTTTATGCCTCTTTGTCAATTTCTTCTCCGTGTAGAGCACAGCATTACCCTTTATTATGGTGGAAGTTACTGTAGATACAACATATACACTTTTACTTATATCTTCACATTGTTCCCTTACCCACCCCACATTAGTCAGAGCAGCAAGCTCTCCTATTGGTACTAATCAGCTCGACAGATCATGCCAAACCTCTGTTGCCTCTCAAATGTGCACAGGTGTTTGTTCCAAACAAATAGGGAAGGGCTGGCAATGGATAAGCTGAAGAAACAAGTGAGCTCTTACCATGCTCTGGAGTTGCCTCCATATTCAGAGGAAGCCAAAGATGAACAATGAAATAGAAAGGAAGCGAGGGAGGGGTATGTGTGTGGGTAGTGTGTGCAGAGCTTTATTCCAGCTCTCTGCTGAGCCATGACCTGGTTTCTCCAGGAGCCACTTGCTGTTTTCTTGTTTTTGGAACAAGTTCCTGACACGGTGCTCTGCATGCCAAGCAGAGTTGTGCTCAGATAGGAAGGGACTGAACTAGATGTGCATACATCTAGTGTGTAGATATTGGATGAAGTTTATTACGGGGACTTTTAGATGCTGACTGTTTGTGGTTATTGTTGTCTTGACAGAATCCAAGAAGAAGAAAAAGGAAGGCAAGAAACAAGAGAAGATGCTGGATTAATGGAGCCGACTTGGGCAATGTGAGAAAGGGACATCAGCAAACACGATCGGTTAACAGTTTCATTTATACCTAGGCATTCTATCCTAAAATTATTTATAGCTTAATGGTACCATAGAAGGAAACAAGCAAACAGACAAAAAATATCCTTTTTTATTACTTCAGTATTTTTAATGTATAACGCTAACAACAATTTCTAGAGGCCTGTGATAAAGGACTCCAAACTCATTTAGAGAAAATTCTGTCTACTGCATATTGAACAGTGTAGAGATTTTTAAAATACTTTCTTTTCTCAAGTCTTGCTGTAGGTCTCAGTCTTGAAACTACTCCATGCAAGCAGAATCTGAACCTGTGTAGAGCCCTGCCTAACCCAGTGATACTCTGTGTGGATGCAGGAATCTGGTTGGGTGCAGTTATATTTAAAATTAGAACCGTATATCTGAAACAACAAACACTGTTTCTTAAGTTGTTTTCACATCAGGATAACTGTATGAAGTTATTTGTTTAAGGAGAGCATGGGGGCATTTTGTTGAGCATTTGCAGGCAAAAAATTTTTTTGTGTGTGACGAATGTTTATTCTTAACTGTCATAGTCTGGGTAAAAAACAGTAGTGTTTGTTTCTTGGTTCCTGGCAGTAAAAACTGTAAAATCTTTCAGTGGTTTGATATATCATGGTCCTAAATTTTTAGGATTTTGTAGAAAAGATACTTTCTACAAAAATATCTAGGTGGCAGGATAGCAAAACTCTTTTTCCTCTTTTACCACAATTGACACCGGTGAATGATAATGTCATCTGTTTTGCCTGCAAAAGGACAAACATGCTTTATTTCTTCCTTCCCTTTTAATTTTTTTTTTTTTTTTTCCAGAATGGAGAATATCTTTTACATAAAAATTTAATTGCAATTGTTGCTATTCTGCCTGACCCAACTCTCTTTTGTATTAGTGGGAATCTTCTGAGTTGATTTTAACTCTAGCTGGTTGAAAATAGAAATTATGTCTAGTGGGAAGTAATAGAACAAATCAGCTTGGAAACTGTCTAAGATGGCTCATATTTCTGACCAGAAAAGGGACATTTTATGAGAATTGAAACAAATAAGAATGAAATTAATTTTTAGTTTTATTTGTCTATAAGTAAAGCAGAATGAAAATGTCAAGATGGTACCTTTTGCTTTTTTCCATTTTTAAATAAGTAAGAACACCTTGGAAAATCTTAGCCATAAAGATAGATTTTTTTCTTTTAATTTCTTTTTTTTTTTTTTTAGTTAACTCAAAAAGGAAAAGAAAGAAAATATAAAACCTGTTGTTTTCGTGTTTGTTTGATTTTAAATATTTTAAATGATTATGAGTCCTGAGAAAAGTCACAAAGGAGAAAAAAGATCTCACCAATGAGTTGGTGTATTGTCAGGTAAAAGATTGTTTTACAATCCAAAAAACATTCAGACCAGATACATTAGAAGAAACCTATGGGATTTCAATGCTCAAATTCTTTTAAAAATCACCATTTGAAAATTGTAAACCTTACATTTCAAGAGCAAGAAGTAAGCTTCACCATTGGTGTAGGCCCCAGGCTTTGCCTGCTGGTCAACAGCAAGTCTCCTGTAGTCTCCCTTTTGCTCAAGCAGATATTCATTGATTTCAGTGAAACTGCATCAGGGTGCAATCATCTGGGTAAATCACAATGCTCTTTTGGAATTAGCTTATAGAAATGCAGAGTCTTTTACTGGTCTATCTTCTCATTTCCCTTTTCTAAGCAGAAAATAAAAATTAAAAAAAGCAGAGCTTGTCCTCTTTTATTCTCTCACATGGGGACTATAGCTGATCTGGACTCACAGTGAGGCAAGTCCTTCTGTAGACATTCCCAAACCCTTCTGAAGCCAGGCTGCACATAGCTCAGGATAGACTAGTTACAATTATTTCTCAGACTGCTTGGGTGTATTTTGCAGTCTTTGTTGATGTCCTTGTTATTTTGACTATACTATTAGACATACCTGAGACAGTGATACAATTAATGTCCCAGATATGGTGGACGTGCAATGACCAAACCCAAAATGACAAGTTGCAATTCATAAAGGCTTTTATTTGGGTGATGCTGGGTGCTATTTTTTTTTTCATTTTGTTTTTTGTTTTGTTTTGTTTTGTTTTATGGTCTGATCAGGTCTGCCTTTGCTTATGCCTCAGACTTGAACTAATGAATTGGTAGATCTGATTGACGACAAAGGGAGGAAGAAGCTTTTTCACTCACCAAAGGTTTGTCTGTCTAAATCTACATCAGTTCACTTGAAGTAGTTCAGCTTTGAGCGTAAACACTGTTGCATCATTGTCTTACATGCGTTAATCTAGTCCACATTTCACAGGGAGCTGGCAGGAGTTGGGATTGATGCTGAGACTTACAGTATGACTTTCCATTAGCAAACCTTAGATACGACTTCCGTTTTCTACTTTTGTGAGTAAAAAGAAAACAAATTCCCTGTACTTCTTCCATCATCTTTTGTCCCTTACAATTAACTGCCCATCTGGATTGCAAAACAAACATTCCTGATAGTTTTTGAAAGAGGTCAGTCAAATTCCCATTGTTACAGTGGTAGCGTAGGGCGTCCATGGAGAGTGTTTACAGAAATCAAACAATCATACAAACAAAGCATCACGCTAGGACCAGCAGGAAGTACAACAGTCCTGTGAGCAAAGGGCATGAAATAGGAAGACTTCCTCTGTACCTCTCAACCACATACATTTGGGTCTATATTTGCATCTTACTGTTAATGTATATATATCGTACTTTACTTAAATGGCAGCCTTTTTCTGGGAGTTTTGAGTGCTCAGAAAAGAGAGAGATGAGTTGCTGAACATCAGAAAAGGGAGATTCTGCATCCAGCCTCTGGATTTCAGCAAATTTAAATTTAGGGTAGTTTGTGTATAGCTCCCACTACTTCCTCTAAGTAAGCTGAGCCATGCTTCCAAGCAATTAGGCTGTCTGTATCTTGATTTAAATCAGTATTTGAGGACTGGGGCATTTTAGCACTTCAGCACGTCTCCTGGCAGAAGTGCCCCTATTGAAAGAGAATCATTGCTTGTCAGCTTGGCATGTTTCACAGACTACTAAGTGCAGCAAGACTATAGCATAAGTTATGTTTTAAGGTAAGGCCCAAGGAGGGGAAAACATTTGCTGTACATTCAAATAAATACTAATTTCTGGTTCTCATCTTCTAATCATACTACTACTGGTACTGTTTTTTCAAAGGGAGAAAAATAAGCAGATATACAGGAGTAATAACTATAAAACATATCAACAGACAATGTAGCATTGTTCACAGGGCCAATGTCAAGAAGAAAGAAATACTATCAGGAGCATTTTACGCAAAATTCTTTTTCTTGCTTCTTTGATTAGGGAAGGCAGGATTACTTGGTGTCACATTTGCTTTTTGGCTTTGCTTTATTATTGCCTTAATGAAAAGTAGGTGCTTATTGGATGTTATTGAAATTACGGAGGGGTCCCACTCCATTCTCAAAAGAAGGCATCCATCAGGGACAACCTGGCTTTCCCTCAGTCTAGGAGTCTGTTCTTTTTTCCTATGCATGAATATATTTTTTGTACTCAGATGCTATTGGAATTGCTCTGCAACAACATTAACAATGTAAACCTCCTGATTTTCCAAAGCTAAATATTGTTCAGATACACCATTCTGACATGACACAATAATCTTTTACGTCTCCCAAAGTCTCATACTAAGGGGAAGCATATGAATGAGGATAGACATCTCTTATTAAATCTTTTAAAACTCTCTAGGAGAGCATCTTATGCAAAGTTCTGACTATATTCTCTCCTGTATGGGGACAGATTGCACCTATTGCCTGTCCTCCACCGCTCACCCCTAATTTTGATAGTATTAGTAGGTTTTTCAACAATTTTGCTAAGGCAATCTACCTCCCATCTAACAACTGCAGACATTTTTGATCCTTCCTAATACTAAAGGATATATCCTCCACAACCTGCTGACTTCTTGTAAAACAGTCCCAGCAAGCCTGTACCATCTGATATCTCTTACTGTGACCTTCTAACATTAAAAATAAATGAAACAGTGAACATGTGTTCATCAGAAGATGACAGTAAACAAAGTAATATGAGAACGAGGAAATCAGTTCTTTGTATCTGTTGGGAAGGTGGCTTGCTCTGTCATAGCTCAACCTGAGTGACGCTTCCTATGAAAAAGCATCACACATAACGAAGAGTAGAGAGCGTGATGAAAGAATGGCTACTCTCAAACAGAAGAGCCCCTTAGCTACATAAGCAGAGCAAGAAGTTGGATAATTTCCCAATGCATTCTCTTATACCTTTAGATTAAAGGAAAGAAACATGGTGCATAGAGCTTCATGTATAGTGAGTACTGTCTGAGCAAATTAGAGTGTGGAACGACCCTATTAAACTCCATGAATAATTGAATTTGAAGAAGGTCTGGATGGTATTTTTCATAGCAACAGAAATGTTCATGTACTTTTGGACTAAAACTAAACAATGAGGTTCCCCTTCTGCCACTCTTCTGCCTTGTGGCCCCATCACTCTGACCTGAGCAGAAATGAGATATTTCAGGGAAAACATGAGAACTCAGCTATATTCTCTGTCATCACATTGGTAGGGCTGTGCTCATTTCTGCAGGTTTTCATTTAAATGTGGAGTATCTTGGTGTCACAAGTTGCTAAAAAGTAAGTAATATATCTAAAATCACAATGAAACTGAAAGCGTGAGTCCAGTGTGTGATTTTTCTGATGAAACGAAACAGAGACTCTCCAAGTGTTCCTATTGTGGAAAGTCATTCAAGGTTAAAGACCGTACGAAAACTTTAGCATTGAAGACTGTGATGTAAAGCTAGGAAAATGAATAGCCTCTGCAGGGCTGTTTTACCTTTAGCCAACTTCATTTAATTAATTACACTGTTTGAATTCCCTCAGCCTAATCTGCTTGGCAACCAGACACTATCTAACTTTTCTCAATGGGTGATTCATTACACTTCCTATATTATAATTATATAGCTCATCTAGGTTATTACAGCTGAAGAAAATGGCTCTGGTAGTCCAGAGACTGTGTTGATCACTGAAGGGACTTGCAGCAGATGTAGGCTACTACTGCTGCCTCTTGCAGCTAGGAACCACATCATCAGGATGTCAGTCAAACACAGCATCTTTAAATATACACTCGTACATATTGCATGTATACAAAGATCCATGTACGTTGAAGCAAAAGTTAAAAAAGAGCATCCATAACTCAAAATGTGACTCACAACTGGTGCTGCCATGTTTTAAAGCTAAAGCAGAAGTGAGAGAACTTTTGGCCTGTGTTCTATTTTTTTTTAAAATAAAAGAGTAGTATATAGGCTGGAGAGTCAGATTTCTTCTCTTCTGCAGCATAATATTTTAAGGATAGCTGTGCCCAAGGAAAATGCAAACACACACCAACAAAATGGCCAATAGGACTTAGTATCAAAGTGATACTCTCTTCTGTCACAATAAGAACATGGAAGGTCTTTATTCAAAGCTTCAAAGTGGAAGAACTGATTAAGTGTGAACATAGAAACCTAAGAAGAAAAAGGCTTTTTCTCTGCAAAGAAAGAGTGAGGAAAAAATAAAGAAAAAATTAAAAAAAAAAAACAAACACACAAAACAAAACAGAAATCCTCTTGATACCTGTGGTTTGGGTGCTAAGTAAGAGAAGAAATGAAAGTCAAAGTAACAAATTAAAGCCCGAGTATCATGTTCAATGGATTTCTAATTCTGTATATATCTATTAAACCAGTTCTATATATCTTCTCATGGGTTATGTTCTTCATGCTGTTCCTTTTTTTCTTTTATTTTTTCCAGTTTGTATATTGATTTTGTAAGCTAGTAGTGTGTTACCTTTTCAATTTTTTTAAACTTGTATGAAAGCCATATATCCATATTATAGAATGAAAGCATTAATCCTGTAACATCCTTAATGTTTCCCTTAGCTCTGTGGGATTGTGGGAGGTTCTAGCGAATGTATATGTTTACCAATTGTATCAACATAATTTACTTGCTCTTAGTGGCGATAAAGAATTAAATAAACTAATACACTGAAACGTGGTGTCATCATTTGGTTGTTGCAACCGTCAAAGTCTTCAGAAATTTCTAAATTCCTAATATTATTAGTGGTGTGCCTCTGTTTTACTAAATTCCTGATGATATATAGTTCTAGCAGAAAACGACTCTTTGGTTTGGGAGTACTGAAAGCTTAGAAATGAGTTTGTTTCATTATAGTTGTTTCATTTGGTATAACATTGGCACAGTGATGGGTTACATATACAAGGAGTTTGGAATCTTTTATTTTAAAATTATTCTACCAGATAAGTGGTGGGGAAACTCTTCTCAGCCTTGTTATGCTCAGTGACGTTAATGGCTGTATGTTTATTGAGAGATGATTAAGCCTCAGAAGTAGAGCAAAGGTGTTAAATTATACTAATGGACTGTACTAAGTGATGAGGAAACTCAGGTAATGCTCATTGTGTGCTAACTTAATCTCTTTTATTTTTTTGTCTTTTCATTATCCTTGTTATTTTTTTTTTTCCTAAATCTCATTTCTTTTTCAAATCTCTTGCTGTTTTTATTTATGTGCCGAACCATTAGTTAAAATTTTGAAAGAATGAATTTTTCCCTACAAAAGTTTTCTGTCACTCACTGTCAAAAAAGGGAGATGCTCCGTAGCACTTAGAAGACTGGAGATTTACACAATCTTCAAAAATTGTCTGGGGGGAAGTAGGCTTTTATAAGATATGAAAACTGATAGAGCATTCTTCAAATCACTAATAGACTGAATAAAATAAAACCTTTGGAAAGAAGACTGAGTGTTTACCATTGTTTAATTACAAAAGGAAAATCTGAATTCCTTCTTTATATGCTTCTTAGCAATTAGTTACATTTTTAGGTTAGTAATAAATAATAAATAATAAATAATAAATAATAAATAATAAATAATAGTTCTACAATGCTCTTTTTCTTAAGTGAGAGCTATCTGTATCTTGTCAGTAAGTCTGAGCTGCTTGAGGACTATCTCAAGTCTTCCTCAGCTTTCCAGAGCTCTATCACACACTGGTCTCTGATTTCTCCTTTCCTCCCTACCCTTGCAAAAGTCAGTATTTACTGACTAGGCCTTAAACAAGTTTTGCAAGGCGCTTTCGAGTCAGCTGTTTTCTGTTGGGTTGTCTTAATTGCTTCTGGTGGGTCTTAGAAGGCAATCTCTGTCTTTACATAGCCTATTTTTGTTATTTTTGGGTATATGAATGGTTCTCCATCATGCAGAAGATGCTCAACCTCTGATGCTACCACTCTGTGCTCCAAACTTCTGTGAGTGGTCATTCATGGAGTGGTTCTATGGATGCAAGCAGGAGCATTGGTGGTGAGTGGGAGATGTCCCTTCAAAAGTACCACTGGCAGAGTGGAAGCCTCTTTGAGAGTTGTAAAACTACAGAGTTTAACTTATGCACTACTAAAGCTGAAGGAATCAGTTTTCAATTTGTCATCTCTCTGGCCTTACACAGGGTAGAACTGTAATTAATACTTGAATGCATAACATTGACACATACACACACACGGACACTGTTCATCCATTGCCTTTTAAATGACAGAACAATATCTAATTTTTGCTCAGATTGGAGATTTTGAGCAATAAAGTGTTCATGTTCAAGATGAAGCTTTCCTGCAAATTAATTCATCTCTTTCCCTTTGTTCTCTTTCATGGTGATAAGGGAAGCCACCTTAGCAGATTTCTTCTCTCAGATTATCTTACCAATTAGCCTGTACTTGTCATCACTAGGAAAATCCAAATGAAAGACAGAACTCTTTAATCTTATAGTGAAACACAAATCTGTTATAAATTCTCATCATTTTCTGAGAAGCTTTCTTAAAAAGGACACTATGTGTGTGACCAGTTCTCAAACAAGATTTTACTGAAATTACAACTATACATGTGCATACACACGAACATTTTTGCATGCACGAATACACTCAAGTATGTGTATACACACATACAATCTCTTACACAGTGTCAAAAATAGCTCTGCAGTTATAGATGGTCCTATTGCTATACAATCACCATGGAAACTGTTGTCTCCATTGGCAAAGAATATTTTTGTTTGTATTTCTTCTGTCTCTTCTTATTAGTTGCACTGTAGTTCTTTTAATTTTCTGCTTCCTTCCATTCCTACCCCAGGAGCAAAAAATGATAGCTTGGATCTGAAAAGGTCAGTAACAATTTTTTTTGTCTTGTTCAATAGATAATGCCTCTCAAGACCAGTTAGTTTCCCTCTCAAATATATAACAAGATAAGAAAGTGCATAGTGATAAACATTTTCAGTTCATTGATAGCTATACAGTAGTTATTAAGTGTTACTGGGGGCTCTAGAGAGAGAGTAAAAGAGAAAAGCAGTATGCGGGGGATGGAGGAGGGTGAAAAGATATTTCCATAAGAGTGATAATTAATTTGCATACTATTACATTTTGAAATACAGGATGATTTTTTATATATTTTTTAACCCTGATGTACAATTTCAGAAGTCCGTTATTGATAATAGAAGACTTCTGCACCCATGTAATTATTTATTAAATATATATTTCTTTTTCATTTCTTAAGGTCTGACTTTTTTACTGTATTAGTTCTTGTATTGCTGTTATTAATTAGTAGCACCACAGGTGCTCATGGGACTCAGCAAAAGTCAAGTGTGGTTGGTGCCACTCGGGGGTGCGCTGTGAGCTTCAGTCCAATGCAGCGGCTGTGTTGGCATGACTGTAATGCAGAGGAAATCTCCAGCCTGAAGGAATGGATCCACTTGCACTTTCTTTTCACAGCACTTAGGGTAGAGGATAAAGAGAAATAACACTATCAATCTTGTCCCTGTTGGACTTTCTTCTTTTTCTTTTTTCCTTCATTTTTTTCTTTCTTCCCTTCTCTCTCTCAATCTGTGTCTCACATTCTCTTTTTTTCCATCCTCCCAATTTTTTTCTCATTCCTTCTTTGTTTTACAACTGCCTATTTTATAACTCTTTCTATCTCTCTTTCCCATGTCTATCTCTGCTTTTCCTTCTGTCTTTTTATCTGTATGCATTTCTCCCTCTCTCCCTCTTTCAAAAACCTAGGTATGCATGCCAGAGAAAGAAAATGAAAAAGGGCCCATACTGAGGTGCATAAGGACTCTGTTTCCAAAATAGAGTTACCTGATTGAACAGGATGAAAGAAAAGCCAAGCATTCCTTCTTTCGTCTTGAGGTCAGATATTATTAAAAAAATTTGTGTTGAATTTAAGGCTTGATTTTGCATATACTTTGGATGGAATGTGAAGGTGCTAATTTCCAGCCTGGAGTCCTGACATTCACGATATAGTGGATAAATATCTTCAACCATATAAAATCTCAGTCCTCTAACAATTTGTGAAGTTTTGCTTTATGTGCTGCAGATAGTCCTACTCATTCCACAGAACCCTTTCCAGCGTAAAAAAACAGACAGGACCAGAATCGTTTGTCCTTAGCTAAACTGAAGTATAAAATTGGTTGTTTTGCCATTGTCCTTCCTTGATGATATGGTTCCAACAAGCTGCCTGCACAACTGAGTGTCACAAAGACAAAACATTCTCTTGTGATAAAGACTGTTCTGTAAGTAGTTGAATTAGAGCTGAGCCTGTGTATCATCAGTGCTACTTGCTGTCTTATCAGGAAAGCTCCCTAAATAAGCCACCCTTTTATCTCCCAACATGAGAAGGAGAAGACAAGTATATTATATTTCAGTCCTGCAACCTTAGAATCAGGGTCACAATAAAATGGCACAAAAAAGCAGGACAAACATGGAGAGAAAAAACAAATGGAAAAAAGATTGAAAAGACAGCCACCTTCTTCCTTTGTAGAATTTATGCTACAAGCCTCTGAAGTAGATGGAGAGGTAGAAAACACTCTAACCTTAAAGCCAGAAATACACATCTGCGTTAGTAGAGGTAGCAATGACAACAATAATTTAGCAGCCATTATTATGCTTTGTACTGTACTTCAGTAGTATGCTCTCACTTAATGCCTTCAATTCAAATACTTCTAAGCAATTTGTCAATGTGAGGTACCCACCAACCTTGTGTACAAGGTGGAGAGTTAGTCTCTCAGGTTGTGCTTATGCTCCCCCTGTAGTCAATGGAGCATGTCAAGTCTGTTCAGAAGGTGATTCCAAGTAGAAGGCTAATTTAACAAATCTGAAAGATGTCATGAAGGGCCTCCCTCTTTGCTAGCTGTGAAGTGAGCTTAGGGAGGATTAGGGAGCTTAATGAAGGATATTAAGCTGTTCTAAGTTTTACCTGTAGTTTGCCTTCCCATTAAGACAGCAAGCTGCAATATTCAAGGCTAGCACTTCAAACATATTTAGGGATTTTAAAAATAAGAGGTGTTTACCATGATAACAGAGGCCAAAAAGCATAAGACAAATGAACTAAAATCTTCTATTTTGGAAGCAAATGACCCAGTGTGATTCTTTTTTGTCACAGATTGTGGAGGGAGGACTGCCCAGGTAGTACACAACTCTGAAAGGGACTGGAGAGCAGGAAAGAGGTAAAACAGGAGAGCTCAGCACCTCCTTCTTTGCCCTGGTGATTGTAGTGAGGTAGAGAGAAAGCCTCAGCTTTTGTTCAGTGGTTTGGCTCAGGAGAATGATGGAGGCAGGCTGCGGGAGCTGAGCCCTTGCTGTTCTCCTCAGTCTTTGTGAGGCACAGCAGGTGTAATGGGAAGCTCCTCTCCCCAGATGAATGCACATGAAGATGCTGATGCCCCTGCTTCTTTCATGGCTGTGCTGGGAACCAGAGCGAAGCCACATTTCCCAACAGCAGGCTGGTAATTCCTGGAAACAAGCATGAAGGAACAGGCTGTGGAGCGAGAAGGGGATGGCTGGGGAATAGCTCTGCAGAATGACTCCTTATCTAGAATCGCCCATTGAGGGATTTAGGGCTTCGTCCTACAGTATGTTCAGCATCTCCTGAGAGACCTAAAACTGGTATCCTAACAACTTTTCTTTGCGTTTGTGAAAGGTTGATCTGGCCTGAAAATCTCTAAATACTTCAGATGAAAGAGACTATGTAAG